GTAACAAGAGCGAAACTCCGTCTCAAAAAAAAAAAATAGAACGAAAGAAAGTGAGAAACTCAATAAACTCTCTGTACTTTTATTATTCTCATTGTTTTGATGATTTTGTTTTAAATATTTATACTTTGCTCTATAAATCATAAAGAACTTTCAAAAATATATATATATATATTTTTTTCAGATCGAGTTTCGCTCTTGTTACGCAGGCTGGAGTGCAATGGCGCGATCTCGGCTCACCGCAACTTACACCTCCTGGGTTCAGGCAATTCTCCTGCCTCAGCCTCCTGAGTAGCTGGGATTACAGGCATGCGCCACCATGCCCAGCTAATTTTTTGTATTTTTAGTAGAGACGAGGTTTCACCATGTTGACCAGGATGGTCTCCATCTCTTAACCTCGTGATTCACCCGCCTAGGTCTCCCAAAGTGCTGGGATTATAGGCGTAAGCCTCTGCACCTGGCCGTATTTTAAAATTCTTATTATTTATTATTACCATTTGAGATGGAGTCTCCCTTTGTCACCAGGCTGAAGTGCAATGGCATGATCTCTGCTCACTGCAACTACTGCCTCCTGGGTTCAAGCGATTCTGCCTCAGCCTTCAAAGTAGCTGGGATCACAGGCATATGCCACAGTGCTTGGCTAATTTTTGTGTTTTTGGTAGAGAAGGGGTTTACCCATGTTGCCCAGGATGGTCTCGAAGTCGTTACCGCAAGTGATGTGCCTGCCTAGCCCTGCCCAAGTGCTGGGAATACAGACATGAGTCACAGCACCCGGCCACTCAATATTATTTTTATTATTATTTTTAGTTGCAGTTTCACTCTTGTTACCCAGGTTGGAGTGCAATGGCGTGATCTCGGCTCACCGCAACCTCCTCCTCCTGCGTTCAGGCAATTCTCCTGCCTCAGCCTCCCGAGTAGCTGGGACTACAGGCGTGCGCCACCATGCCCAGCTGATTTTTTTTTTTTTCTTTTTGTATTTTTAGTAGAGACGGGGTTTCACCATGTTGACCAGGATGGTCTCGATCTCTTGACCTCATGATCCACCCGCCTCGGCCTCCCAAAGTGCTGGGATTACAGGCATGAGCCACTGCGCCTGGCTCGTGATTAGTTTTTTGAGACAGAGTCTTGCTCTGTTACCAGCCTGGAATGCAGTGGCACGATCTTGGCTCACTGCAACCTCTCCCTCGCAGGTTTAAGCCATTTTCCTGCCTCAGCCTCCAGAGTGGCTGGAATTACAGGTGCTCGCCACCATGCTCAGCCAAGTTTTTGTATTTTTAGTAGAGACGCGGTTTCAGCATGTTGGTCAGGCTGGTCTTGAACTCCTGACCTCAACTGATCCACCTGACTCGGCCTCCCAAAGTGCTAGGATTACAGGCGTGAGCTACTGTGCCCTGTTGAGGATTAATTTTGATTTTTTAATTTTTATTTTTTTGAGATAGAGTTTCAATCTCCTTGCCCAGGTTGGAGTGCAGTGGTGTGATCTCGACTCACTGCAACCTCCACCTCCCAGGTTCAAGTGACTCTCCTGCCTCAGCCTCCTGAGTAGCTGGGATTACAAGCAGGCGCCATCAGGCCCAGCCGATTTTTTGTGTTTTTAGTAGAAATGGATGTTTCACCACGTTGGCCAGCGTGGTCTCCAACACCTGACCTCTGGTGATCTGCCCACCTTGGACTCCCAAAGAGCTAAGATTACGGGCACGAGCCACTGCGGCCGACCTAATGCTTAATTATAACCATGTCTGTCCAGAGTTCTTGTTAACACTGTGAGGACAGCTTCACCCCCACCTCAGGCTCCAAACGCAGGAAGAGCGCGTTTCCAGAATGAGCTGGAATTGACAAGGTTTGCGTCCTGCGCCCAGAGAACGAAGCTGATACTTGTTTTCTGTAGTGCTGTAATGGATGACCACAAAGCAGGCGGCTTCAGACAACAGAAATGTATTTTTGCACAGTGCAGGAGGCCAGAGTCGGGGTGTGGGCAGGGCCACCGCGCTCCCTCTGAAGGCTCCAGGGAGGATCCCGCCTGCCTCCTCCAGCTTCTGGTGGTGGCCGGCAGACTTTGGTGTGGCCTGGCTTCACTCCAGCCTCTGCTTCCATCACTGCATGGCTTTCTTCCCTGTCTCTGTCTCTGTATCTGCGTCCAAATTTTCCTCTCCTTAGGAGAATGTGAATCATTAGCTTTAGGGGCGGCCTCGAGAATTGCTTGAACCTGGGGAGTGGAGATTGCTGTGGGCCAAGATGGCGTCACTGCACTCCAGCCTGGGTGAGGGAGCTAGACCGCCTCAAAAAAAAAAAAAAAAAAAAAAAAGAAAAGCCGGGCACGGTGGCTCAAGCCTGTAATCCCAGCACTTTGGGAGGCCGAGGCGGGTGGATCACGAGGTCAAGAGATCGAGACCATTCTGGTCAACATAGTGAAACCCCGTCTCTACTAAAAAAAATACAAAAATTAGCTGGGCATGGTGGCATGTGCCTGTAATCCCAGCTACTCAGGAGGCTGAGGCAGGAGAATTGCCTGAACCCAGGAGGCGGAGGTTGCGGTGAGCCGAGATCGCGCCATTGCACTCCAGCCTGGGTAACAAGAGCGAAACTCCGTCTCAAAAAAAAAAAAAAAAAAAAAAAAAAAACTGCTATTAAAAATATAGTGAGGGATTGACATACCAGAAAAGGATGGAATGGGTGAACAAATGACAGGGTCATAGCAAATAGCTGAAAACTATAGAGAAGAACCAAATGAAAATCCTAGAACTGGAAAATACAATATATGTAATGAAAAGGTCATTGAATGAGCTTAACAAAAGAATGGACACAACAGGAAAAAAAAGTCATTTAATTCAATTTACATTGTACTCAGTAAACTTATCTAAACTGAAATATAGAAAGAAAAAAATAGAATGAAAAAAGAACAGAGGAGCCAAGACTGTGGAATGATATCAAAAGGCTTAACATTGCGGCCGGGCACGGTGGCTCAAGCCTGTAATCCCAGCACTTTGGGAGGCCGAGGCGGGTGGATCACGAGGTCGACAGATCGAGACCATCCTGGTCAACATGGTGAAACCCCGTCTCTACTAAAAATACAAAAATTAGCTGGGCATGGTGTCGTGTGCCTGTAATCCCAGCTACTCAGGAGGCTGAGGCAGGAGAATTGCCTGAACCCAAGAGGCGGAGGTTGCGGTGAGCCGAGATCGCGCCATTGCACTCCAGCCTGGGTAACAAGAGCGAAACTCCGTCTCAAAAAAAAAAAAAGGCTTAACATTTGTGTTACTGGAGTTTCAGAAAGTGAAAGGGTAGACAGAAAAATATTTGAACACTTTTGTAAAATTGATCAAAGACAGCATCTTCTAGATCCAAGAAACTCAGTAGAACTCCAAGTACAGAGATATAAAAACAAGTCAGAGAAAACAAATCTGGTAAGTAGATAAGAATTGGGCCTATCTAAATGTGGTCATTTTTGTACTTACCTGACTTTTTTCAGGTACTTACCTGACTTTTTTCAGGTAAGTACAAAAATGACCACATTTAGATAGGCCAGAGTCAAACTGTTGAAAACCAAAGATAGGCCGGGCACGGTGGCTCATACCTGTAATGCCTGCACTTTGGGAGGCCAAACAGGACAGATCACTTGAGCCAAGGATTTCGAGACCAGCCTGGCCAACAAGATGAAACCCCATCTCTACAAAAAATACAAAAATTAGCCAGGCATGGTATCGTGCACCTGTGGTCCCAGCTACTTGGGAGGCTGAGTTGGGAGGATCACCTGAGCCCTGGGACGTTGAGGCTGCAGTGAGCCGTGATTGTGCCGCTGCACTCCAGCCCAGGTGAGAGAGTGAAATAAAAATTCAAGATATTGTCACGTGAGGCTAGAGCTCAGGGAAGAGGTCAGAACTGGAAAAGACTGGGACAATTCTCAATGTCAGTGGTATTTAAAGCCTGGCTCGGGATGAGGTTGCCCAAAGAGAGAGGGTGGTCTGACAGAGCAGGTGCTAGAACCAGGCTGCAGCAAGCAGCACTTAGTGTTCAGACAGGACAGAAAACAGCAGAGGCACTGAGAAGGAGCGGCCCGAGAAACCAGAGGAGAACGAGAAAACTGAGATGAGATTTCATGGATGTACCTTTTCCACGGGCTTTTCCTGTGTTTCTCTGTGTTTCTCCATATTATCCGTGTTATTTTTCTTTTAGTGTGTGCTTTTCTGCCTTTCTTTCTCTACGTAGAGTCTCAAGCTCTCGGATTTTTTCTCTGCCTTGTTTTTTTATCTCTGTACCCAACTTTGTCTTTTATCCTCTCCTTCATTTCTCTTTTATCATCCCTTCTCTTTCTGAATCTGTTTTTTAAATGATGCTGATACACATTAGGCATTTTGTCAGTTTATTATTTATTATATTATTCTTGGAGTCCTCTGTTGCTTATTATTAATATTGCTTAAAAATTAGTCGAACATTTTGTAAATAATGCCCCAAAAAAGCCACAAAAGAATCCAGCAAATTCAGCTGCTTTTGTCTCCATTGATTTTCTTCGGTGGGACAGTGGATTGGGTTTTTTTGTTTTGTTTTTAAAAAGTTATTCAGTTCTTTTTTCTCCTATTGAGAACATTATATCGTTTAATAAAAGCCCTCTTAGGAATAGTTTTAGCTACCTCAATGATTTAAAATTAAAGGTGCAAATGCAGATATGTGCATAATATGCCGGGTCCTTTTGTCTTTACTCAAAAAAAAAGTAATTGTATGTTCTTAATTATAAGACAAAGATTTGGCGTTTTATTTCTTCCCTAAAACCATTTTTGGCTGCGTGCTGTGGTTCATGCCTATAATCTCAACACTTTGGGAGGCCAAAGTAGGAGGATCATGTGAGCCCAGGACTTGGAGGCTGTGGTGAGCTCTGATCACACCCACCACTGCACTCCAGTGTGACAGAGTGAGCCCCTATTTCTCAAAAAAAAAAAGCCTGAATTTTTTTTAAACAAAAATGAGTTAATTCTGAGTTCAACACATGTAAACATCCATTTTTCAATTTTGACATTTCATAATATAGCAAAATACCTTGATTTGGATACCTGTAGGTACTAATCACTAGAAATAATTTGATACACTGGTGTAACTGCTCATATCTGTTGTTTATCTGTTGAATATATAGGTGTACTCTTCTAAGCTAATTGTAACAGGAGCCTAAACACTGGATTTCTTTCATTGTACTTCATGGCTCTCTGATTATTGAAGATGGCAAACGAGGGGCACACTGGATACAGTTCCGTTTCCTGACAGCCATCAGAATAAGATGGGTTCCAACCATCTTATTATCCACGATCCAACCGTCCTCATTTTTTAAATAGCAGTCTAATTAAGGACCTTGAAGAGTATTAGAAAGTTTCACGATCTGCTTATGTACTGTGATTTAACCATATTGTAATTCTTTAATGGGAATTTTATAAACAGGCACAGTTTGAGCTGCAGTTTCCAACAGACCTAATGGAGTTTTTTCCCTTTAGGTGTAAAAGGAAGAGAACATCTCCTGGACCTAATTGCTACAATGCTGGTACTACAGTTTATTCGCACCAGGTTGGGAAAAAAGGGAATAGTGTTCAAATCGCTGATGAAACTGGATGACGCTTCTGTTTTCAGGTGGCTTTAACCATAGTATTACGCAACTTATTTATATCTTCAACCATTTATTTAATAAACCTTACAAACAGCTATAGGGAATTAGCTGACATGTGCAGACTACTTTATAAGTATGTAGGAAGAGAATTTGTTTGCAGGTGACAGCTTGCCCACAGTCTCCTGTGGCATGCAGGGCTGATGTGGTATTTGCACCTTGGGCTGGACAGGAAACGGGCTTAGAGATTTTCAGTGCAGCTCCTGCTGGAGCCTGGCACTTCTGGCTCCTGATGTGGTGCTCTTCACTGCAGTGTGCTGATCCCGGGGGCCTCCAGAAGACCCACAATATAATTGTTGGGTCCAGCCGTGTTCCCAACAATGGCAGGGCCTGGGACAAGAATACAAATGGAAACCCACATACTGTATGTCTGAGTATCTAAAAGTTATAAATCCAATTAGCGACCTATTAGATTAAAAATGTTTTAATTTCCTACCTTGGCAAATACAACTTCCTAACCACCTGGAAGGCCAGGTTCAAATTCAGCCCTTGGCTGACCCCTAGCACCCTAGGAGGCCTTGCTTGCACGCATGAATTCCCCACCCCACTCATCAAAATGCCATCCAGACCCCATGCCAGCGCTCCCTTACCCCAGCCACCTTGCAGCACGAGTGAGATAGCAGCGCAGTTCAAACTCAGGATGGCAGACCCAGGGAAGACCCGGGAAGTGGACTCAGGGCCATGTGGTCAGGGATACCGGAGGTACAGGGTCTGAAAAGGAGGATATGGGCTCTGAGGTGAGCACATTCTCTTGTCCCTACAGACCCCCGACCCTGTGGCAACAGGGGCATGACCAGAGTAGGATCCCTCTGACATATATACATATCTCAGTATATCCATACATATATACATACACATGCAATTGGCTTATGTTCTTTTAAAGGCAAGATAAGGGGAAAACTAATCAAACTAATAAAAATATTATTGTGAGGGGTGTTTGATAGATGGGACAAGGATGGAAGCTAGGGTTCTCTAGCAGTTTTGACTTTGAAGCTATGTAAATATTTTACGTACTAATGGATAGGATTGATTTATTTATTAAGACAAAGTCTGACTATCACCCAGGCTGGAGTGCAGTGGCGCAATCTCAGCTCACTGCGACCTCCATCTCCTGGGCTCAAGCCATCCTCCCACCTCAGCCTCCTGAGTACCTGGGACTACAGGCATGCACCGCCATGCCCTGCTAATTTTTGTACTTTTTGTAAAGACAGGGCTTCACCATGTTGCCCAGGCTGGTCTCGAACTCCTGAGCTCAAGCAGTCCTCCCACCTCAGCCTCCCAGAGTGCTGGGATTACAGGCATGAGCCACCATGCCCAGCCTGGGAATTAATTTAAGATGACTTTAAAGCATAGTACATAGGCCAGGTGTGGTGGCCCATGCCTGTAATTCCAGCACTTTGGGAGACCACGGCGGGTAGATCGCAAGGTCTGGAGTTTGAGACCAGCCTGAGCAACATGGTGAAACCCTGTCTCTACTAAAAATACAAAAATTAGCTATGTGTGGTGGAGCACACCTGTAATCCCAGCTACTCAGGAGGCTGAGGCAGGAGAATCATTTGAACCCAGGAGGCAGAGATTGCAGTGAGCTGAGATCGCACCACTGCACTCCAGCCTGGACAACATAGTGAGACTCCGTCTCGAAGAAAAAAACAACATAGTACATAATTTAACTATACTTCCTTAGTGGGACAGTGCCTAAGGATTAAAAAATATTACAAAGAAATCTCACTGGGAGTAGCCATGGTGTTAATAAAACTTTTGATTTGTTATTTTGGGAGGTTGATATTAATATTGGTACAAACTAATATGTATAAAATCAAAGAAGTTAAATTAAACCCCTTGAATTCTAAATTTGAATTACATCAGAGAATAGAGAAACATGTTACATGACACCATTGAAATGCAGTCAGCAAAGTCTGGAATGTGGGGAAATAAATGGCAAGAGAAAAAAAGGGTTGAGGAGTAGAAGCTGTAAATAAACGTTTAGAGACATACCAACCAACAGCAATGGTAGACCTTGTTTAGATCCTGATTTGACCAAAACCCACTGCATTTTAAAAAATGAGACAGGGAAAATTCAACACTACCTGGGGATATATTAAAGAAATATTGATAACTATTTTTTAAGTGTCATGATTAAGAAAAAGTTCTCAAACACAAAACAGGTGTTCCGGAAGTTCTGGGCTAGGCCCATTGGCTCATGCCTGTAATCCAAGTACTTTGGGAGACTGAGATGGGAGGATCACTTGAGCCCAGCAAGATCAAGTCCAAGAGCTTAAGACCAGCCTAGGTAACCAACAAGACCCTCATCGCTCCAAAAACCTTTTTTTAATTACCCAGGCGTTGCTGGGCACTGCGGCTCACACCTGTAATCCCAGCACTTTGGGATGCCAAGGCCGGAAGATTGTTTGCATCCAGGCGTTTAAGACCAGCCAGGACAACATATCAAGACCCTGTCTCTACAAAAAATTAAAAACTAGCTGAGTGTGATAGTGTGTGACTACTCAGGAACTGAGGTGGAGGGATTACTTGACCAGGAGGTCAAGGCTGCAACAAGTTGTGATTGTGCCACTGCACTCCAGTGAGACTCTAAAAAAGAAAATCATAATTTACTATGTGTAATTTATACACCAATTTTTTAAAAAGCAATACCTTCTCATTTTGTTGCCAAAACAACACCTTAAGAAAAATTAGAATTTATTCTTTTTTTTTTTTCTGTTTTGAGGGTTTTCTTTCTTTTTTTTTTTTTTAATTTATTTTTGTTTTGAAATAGGATCTCATTCTGTGGCCCAGGCTGGAGTGCAGTGGCATGATCTCAGCTCAGTGCAGCCTCCCGCTCCCAGGTTCAAGCAATTCTCGTGCCTTAGCCTCCCAAGTAGCTGGGATCACAGGTGTGCACCACCATGCCCAGCTAATTTTTATATTTTTCGTAGAGATGAGGTTTTGCCATGTTGGCCAGGCTGGTCTCAAACTCCTGACCTCAAGTGATCTGCCCACATTGGCCTCTCAGAGTTCTGGGATTACAAGAGTGAGCCACTGCACTGGCCTATTTTGGATATTTTATTTTACAATAAACGAATGCCACTTGCCAAGAGAATTAATTAAATGAATATCAAAGAAAAAAAAAACACTTTGAACAGCTAGGAGATGGTACTGAAAAATTAGTATTTGACTTAATAGACATATCCAAAGAAGTACTTATTCTATTTAGATCATTTCCAACTATTGATATTAAAGCTGTTAGAACAAGTATAAACTTTGAACCTGCTTTTGAACTGTAATATCACAAAGTATTAAAGTAAGATTTTCAAAACTGATCAAGTATACTACAGCATATTACTCTTACTACATTACTGCTATTGTGCTAGCAAAATAGTTTGTTGGCATTTTAATACATAAGACAAAATGATTTTAGGCCAGGTGTGAGGGCTCACACCTGTGATCACTTTGGGAGGCTGAGATGGGTGGATCATGAGGTCAGGAGATCGAGACCAGCCTGGCCAACATGGTGGAACCCCCTCTCTACTAAAAATACAAAAATTAGCTGGGCATGGTTGCATGCAACTGTAGTCCCAGCTACTCAGGAGTCTGAGGCAGGAGAATTGCTTGAACCAGGGAATTGGAGGTTGCAGTGAGCTGAGATCGCATCACTGCACTTCAGCCTGGTGACAGAGCGAGACTCTGTCTCAAAAAAAAAAAAAAAAGATTTTAAATATTTTTTATTTTTTGTTTATTGCATATTGGAAACTTTTTTCTGTATTTTCTGTTTCAAGATGTACATAACATTGATGCAGGAGCACATTACATGGGAGTGTAGGCACAAGATTTTCTTACTAGTGGAATGGTGAACCAAAAAGTATAGAAGCCACTGGACTGAAGGAGGCCGGCTGAATTAGTGAAAATATTCAAAACCAGGCTTGTTGCGTTCAGCAGTTAGTAACTCTAAGCAGATGAATATTTACCAGGAAATGTTGGTCTTTTAACCACTTTGGGCATGCTTCTTATTTAGTATGTTCATTCCATCAGGACATTTAGTGAACATTTGTTGAATGCCTACTGTGTACCAGGGACTAGTAATCATGTTAAATGTATAAGCTTTGTTAATTTCCACCACAAACCCATAGAACCTCATGTTATTCTCGTAATTGAGTAAACTGAGATTCCCAGTGTTGAATGAAAGCCACGCGGTATCACATGGCCAAGATCATGTGTTTGCAGAGTCAGAACTCAAACCAGCTCTTAACCACCACGCTCTACTGAGGCCCTTTCCCAGTTCACAAGGGAAAATCGGGACGAGGGAGCAGATTTTCAAAATACTAAGTTTCCTCCCATAGAATTTTCTTAAGAGCTTCGGTGTAT